AACTCTGAAAAGATGTTTAAAGCTGAAAAGCCTCGATTGTTCCACTGAGACGGAGAATTGGTTTGTTTCTCAGTAAAAACTCTCAGGTGGGAAGGTCGTGAAGTAGAACATCATAAATTTGCACAGTTCAGTTCAGAAGGAATGCGAGAGAGCGTTTGGGCATCCCCCCCCCCTCGCACAGCGCGTTTCGAGGTGTCGTTAAATGGCTTCCTGGTAGAATGCAGATCTAACTTTGGCCGAGGATAGGCTAGAAGGCGTTGGGTGCTCCCCACACAGCTTTCATTTGTTATTCCAAGCAAAACGAGGCCTTTAGGTGGTAGCTCTTCAAGAGCATTTGATAGACAACTGTCAATCATCAATTAATAAAAAAACTTACCTATGCGAACAACAGGATTACTACGAGGAAGCAGATACTTACCGTATTCTCGCGTCCCAAACAATCGCTATCGGAATTACAAGCGTCGGCGTGAGCAAAAAGACAGTTCAACCCAACATTGGCATCGGATGGACATTGTGGAGTACCCGTGATGCCTAAATGAACTATTTTTCAAAAACTTAAGTTTCTGAGATCCCTCCAAGCATGCGCGTCTTCTGGGGCAAATGTTGTTCCAGGAGTCGTTGACGAGCTTGGACGCCCAGTCTCTGCCTTTTCGTGGACGAGGCACTAGAACTATTGGAGCATGAGAGGTTACCTCCACGTTGCAGCAAAGGCATCCAACGATGCTTTATAAACTGTATCGGCATTATATTAGGTTGACCCATAAGTAGCAGCGTTTTTTTTGTCACACAAATTTTAATAGGGAAAATGACAGTACTCCCCCAATATGTTCTACATGTTTGATAGACAATTTTCCGCACTATAAGATAGTATAATTGCCTTCTTACTATTTCTCGACTTGTGTCGATTTTTATTTCATTGAAAGGGAAATTCGGGTCGACCCAAAAGTGAGTTTTCGACAACTACTTTTTGACTCCGTGTTTTCGAATTTTATCTCGGCTCTCAATCTATAGAAGAAGCTCAAACCTTGTGGTAAGCAAAAAGATGCGTCTTATGACAGCTTGAAGTTGGTTCAAGCGATCAAGAGGTGGGAATTCGGACCTTGTAAAAGAGCATCGCGTGGGGGCCCTCTTGGGAAGGGACTGCCTGCAGAACCTACCCACTTATTTTCGAACGTCTAACATCAAGAGGGTGGTGGGTTGGTTGATAACGATAAGGAACCTCTAACGATAGGCCTATGGCCTCTAACGATCCCTCAATCTTGGCATGATTCTTAGCCAATAAGGTAATTCCGTGAGCTCTCAGTTGGACAGAATAGGGCATTAGGTTCGATGCTTGTCTGTGAGGTCGAAACTGAAATCTTCGAATCACTTGAAAGTATTATTAGCATTCCTAAGAGACATAGCCTTTCAGCCATATACTTAGCAGCTGGGCCCATGCGGTTTTAGCTTTTCAATTAGAGGTATAAAAGAGAGGCTGTCGAAAATGCTCAATTTCGTCGACCTGACAATGCTCAATTTTGTCGACCTGACACTCCAGCCTGAGCATTTAAATACTTAATGGAAAAAACTTCTTAAAAATTCAGAGCACTGTCGTATAGGGCAAAACGGTAGAAAACTCAATGGCAAAACTTTTCTTCTTCAGCACGATATTGAGTGGGAAAAAAGCCATTACTTATGGGCCGACCCAATACATTAATAAACTTATTAGGGCCGACCCAACACATCAATGGGATATCATTTTGACAAGAAATCCTGTATGCCGAGTTAACTAGCCAGCAAATACTGCCAATTCCAGCACGCTGCAAGCAACGTGAAGTAAAGTCTCATGCCGAGCACCGCTTCTCAATAACCTTTAAAAGAATTTTCATGTATTCTAAGATCTGTTCTGTAATCTCTTGATATTTATTGCGCGCTCTATGTCTGAAAAACTCACTTTTGCACATTGTACTCAAAGGTCGTCTTAACCAACCATTTTACAGTGCTATGAGCGGAGCCTTTTGGCTTTCTCACGAAGACCTAGTCGAAAAATCCTCACAGAAAGTACGCATAAATCATACCCGATGAGCCGCAAGTTGCTTGGCAACTTGCCAACGATTGGAAATTGTTGGCATTTCCTCCGCAACCCGAGTAGGTGAATCGTTTACATGATCGGACGAAGGCATCGTAGTAGAACAGAATGTGGTGCAAGTTGCATGAGCCACATCAGTGGCATGAACGATATGGAAGTGCCGGAGAGGTGTAATAATGCAGTGCATAGCGCGAACAAAATTTAACAAATGTGAAGTACTAAATGATCGATTATATAATCTATGTAGTACAGAAAGTGAAACTCAATACAAAATGCTTCAGGATTACAGATAAGAAACTGAGCTAGGGATACTTGTTGCGCACAAACAGAAGCTGGCAATGTGACAAGAATCTTGGCTTACGGGTGCGTCGTATGCGGAGTCCCAGCCGTAGGGGGCTTAGTTCGGTCTTTGGAGAAAGGTCTGTGTTTGCTTGTCGAGTGAGAGGTTTTCTGCAACGCTCAGCGCTTTTTCGTTCAAGTGTTTATTAAACCCCCTCTGCTCTCTCTATGGTAGCGTGGTGTTGGCAGTTTTTTGCGGGCGAATAAAAAAACTTTTCACGGAACCCTCCCAGAATGGGATAGAGCCAAAATGGGGTGAAAGTGTCGTATAGGTGAAACAATGAAGTGCTTACACCTATCAATATGAACATAATTTCAAAAGGCAGGTCGTAGTCATTGCCAAATGACATATTGAAGATGTCATAATCTAGAAACGCAAGATTCAAAATCATCGATTTAAAGCCATCTGATTATTCGGAACTGAACCGACTTCGAACTCCAACTGGATCACGGCAGATCCTCGTCGCTGAATTTGTCACAGGATTTGGCTCAACACAACACTTCTGAATACCCGGACAGTTACTGTCCATCCAGCATCCAATAGCGGCGTCCTGAAATGAGTTTTCAAAAGCACCGAAGAGCTACTGCGAAATTTTAGACACAAATGTAACACCCAAAAATGAGAGATAAATCGGTCAATAAAGTAGTTGTGGGAACGACCCACAAGAAAGGACTACGTCCCCACCTACGTTTGGCTTCTGTGCTTTCCAAAAACACACCATTGTTAGGGAAATTACCACGAGGGAGTTGTACTTTACCGCCAGGTGGAGAAGGGGTCGTAATTGCCCAGGTCAGTCAACACTTAAGAATGAACAAGCAAAAGATAGCAAAATTTTGACGCTTTCAAAGAGCTCAAGAACACATCCTTACACGGGAAAACTGAAATGGTGTTCTCGACAGAGCGTGATTTGACTTCATGTGCACCAAAATAAGGGAGTGGTGGGGTGATCACCATCTTCGCGAGAACGTGCGATGTTTCTTGCGCAGCCGCCTGTTTCCCCTCCCTTTCCCCTATCCAGTTAAACCGCAGAAGTGAAAATGAAAATTAGGATGGCAAGACAGTCACTTACCTGGAACACGGAAATGCCAAGTGGTCGTGGACAGGAACCGGATTTGGCGTTAATCTCCGAAGCCGGTATACCTGGAAAACAGGATGTGATTGACTCCGAGAATTGTTACACAATAGCCAAGAACTCTGCACCAAGACCAGCACACTTTTTTGATCCAAGGAAATTTATGGCATGACTATCCAGAACGAGCTAGGGTTATAAGTCTTCAGTCGTTGCGTTCCTCTATTTCTGCCTGAAGGATGTTTTGTGCCAAGAACCCCAGAGAGCATGTCCCTGGCTACGATCTTTTTCAAATTCCACTTAGCTGCCTATGAGTCTCTCCGGATCCAAGTCAAATAGAAAGACAAGCTTGAGCTCTTCTGTTTGCAAAGCATCGCTGGACACAATGCGATTGTCGTTTGGCCGGACAGACGGTCGGTCAGTCAGCTGGGGGTGCGAGAGAAGCGGGTATGGGCGCGCAAGGCGATCTGTGACGAACAAGCAATGCAAATACGAAAAACGCAGACCAAAAAACGGCACGGGTAGAAACATGAATTGACCAGA